CATGTCTCCCGTTCTTTGCAAAGTGCACAATATGTCACAAAGATGAGCATTAAGAATGCAGGGTTTTATGTTCCAGATGGGTAAGACAGTGCTACAGAAATGGACAAGGCACAGCCCACTAAAGTGTGGACTTGATATGGTCTTCATCGGGCCATATTGTTTCTCATAGACTTAAGGACCTATATGATACCAATTTCCCATATCAGTGTGTCAAAACACTGCCTGAACATCAAGCAAAAAGTGGGTGCCAGAAACAATATCATACGAAAGCTGACTGACACAACCTGGGGATCACAACCAGATACAGTGAAGACATCTGCCCTTGTGCTGTGCTACTCTGCTGCTGAGTATGCATGCCCAGTGTGGAACACATCTCACCACACTAAAACAGTGGATGTGGCTCTTAATGAGACATGCCGCATTATCACGGGGTGTCTGCACCCTACACCACTGGAGAAATTACACTGCTTAGCTGGTATTGCACCACCTGACATCCGGCGGGAAGTAGCAGCCAATAGTGAAAGGACCAAGGCAGAGATATCTCCAGCTCATCCCCTGTTTGGGTATCAGCCAGCACGTCAACGACTTAAATCTAGAAATAGTTTTCTAAGATCTACAGAGACACTCGCTGGAACACCCCAGCAAGCGAGAGTCCAAAAGTGGCAGGCTCAAACCCAACACCTCAGCCAGTGGTTGATACCAAATGAGAGACTCCCTCCTGGGCACACAGAAGACTGGGCGACCTGGAAGGCGCTGAACAGACTGCGCTCTGGCACCACAAGATGCAGAGCCAACCTTCAGAAATGGGGCTACAAAGTGGAATCCTCGACATGCAAGTGTGGAGAAGAGCAAACTACAGACCACCTGCTGCAATGCAACCTGAGCCCTGCCACATGCACAATGGAAGACCTCCTTGCGGCAACACCAGAGGCACTCCAAGTGGCCAACTACTGGTCAAAGGACATTTAACCAACTACCAAACTCACAAGTTTTGTATTTTGTCTGTTTGTTTGTTTGCTTTGTTCTGTTAGAAATGTAATATAATGGACTGGTTGCTTTGACACAGCAAATTAATAAATAAAAATAAATATCAGTGTGTGTATGTGCCTTCAAGTTATCTGTAGACATACTGTGGTCCCATGGATTTTATCAGGTTTTCTTATGCAAGGTATACTCATAAGCTATTTTGCAAGTTCCTTCCTCTGAAAACACCTGGTATTGGTTGGGAGTCTTCAAGTGCTAACCAGGGCTGACCCTGCTTCGTTTCCAAGATCAGATAGAATCTGGTGTCTTCAGTGTATTTGGACATCCTTTAGGCTGTTAAGGCATCTTCTTTTTGGATTTTAGCCAGTCTGATCCAATGTCAGTGTTGAAGATTAAATCTGGGGAACCATGGTAGATGTGTTCACAAATCCCAAGCAAGACATGCATTTTGCACTAGATGAACTTCATTTATAAATAAATCATGTACTACATCTTTGCTTATGCAGCCCTGAAGTTACTTCTGAGATACTTCCAGTCTCTTCTTTTTTTATATTGTAGTGCTAACCTTTTATCTGCCCTGTGTTTTGACTACAGCTCTCAAGCCCCTTTGGCCCATGGTCAAATCAAGGCATTGGACTGCCAGTCCAATTCCAAGCACAATTCGAAGTGCTGATCTTGACCTATAAAGCCCTATACAGTTCCGGCCCAGCTTACTTGTCTGAACATATCTCCTTCTATGATCTACCAGGGGAGACCTTGCTCTCGATCCCACCACCCTCGCAAGCGCGATTGGCAGGGACGAGAGACAGGACCTTCTCAGTGGTGGCCCCCTGTCTTTGGAACACACTCCCCGGTAAGATTAGGCTGACTTGGCTTTGGGACCTAGCGTTCGTGCAGCTAACTGAGCAGCAATTGCAATGACTTACACCAATGAATAGACCTGGACTGGAACTCCAGATTACGATTTGGATTTGAGGATAGGCTGGTAGTACTGCAATATTTTAATGGCCAATTTTATAATGTATTTTAATTTTGTTGTTTTATTTAAAGTCCAACTGTTCTTCCTTTTTGTGTGTGCTGGCATCTAGTGTTTGGGGTTGAGAAGAACGGGGTGCAAATGTCCGAAATAAATAAATTATGGATTCATAGTATAGTGCTATGGACTATCAATTTCCTTAAGGTTTCAGAGCTCCATTCTTCCCTTTACAGCTATAGTTTTACACTGAAATTTTCCATGTGCCATCTTTGAACATAGCTAGTATAATGTTGGATAAGGCTTTGATTTGCTAAGCCTTACGATAACCTCAAGGGAAGAACCGATGCAAGCTTTCCATTACAATAATGTACAAAAAGGGGCTGTAAGTGGAAATTGCATAAGTCAGGTTCATTTGGCACAAGTTGATGAATGTCTGTTTAATTAGAGGCACCAATCACAGCATCTAAACATGGTGGTGGATGTTTTCTATCCTTTAAACATGTATTTGAGTGAAGTGACAAATATAATCCACATTGCTGGAGCTGAGTTTGAAAGAAGGAAGCAGTCATATTTCCAGATTAGAACGCCATCTGAAAATGCATGTTTAGGTGGCATGGTCCAGGTCATTGGATTTAACAGCAATTTTTTTTTTGGGGGGGGGGGGTTATATGGCCATGTTCTAGCAGCATTCTGTCCTGGCGTTTCACCTGCATCTATTGTAGGCATCCTTAGAGGTTGAGAGGTCTGTTGGAAACTAGGAAAATTGGGTTTATATGTCTGTGGAAGACAAGAAACAATCAAGGACAGCTAATCACCTCTCAACAAAGAATTCCCCCCAGACAGTAACAAGCCACACCTAAAAACTACCAGGCCATCAACTGCTAATCAACGTGGCCAATTGAAACATTCACACTTAGCTCTAACAGACAAGAGTTCTTTCATCCACCCTGGACATTCCACAGATATATTGTCATGTATCATGTTCTGCAGTTCATGGTGGTTAGTGGTGGCAGGCCTAGCAGTTGGTGATGGAAGGGTTAATGTAAGTCTTAGTTCTAAAGGGTTGAATAATCTGTAAGTAAGGTTTCATGGGTGAAAGCAGTTAAGGGTGGAGGTATACAAGAGATAGGTTGCAGCTGGGTGTTTCAGGATATAATGAGCTAGCCTTGGGACTGATCTTCAGGAGAAAAGTATCTGTCTTATTTTGGTGGTAGATGCTGCTGGTTTTCCCCCAGGTTTGTGGATTTTTGATATTTTGACCTGTCTCCTGAACCTTTGCAATCCTGGACCTTGAATCTTTGGACTGGCTTTTGACAATGGTATAGACTCTTGATCCCTGGACTTTGCTCACTGAAGTCTCGGCATTTGACCACTAGACAGGACCCTTTGACTACTGTGTAGTGTTTGTTGTCAGTTTTTGTTTTATTTTCTGTGGCTGGGTGCTATCTTTTTGTTTTATATTTTGGACTATTAAAACAGCCAGGAAGTGAGTTCTGATTTAATTAAATTGTTTAACACAAACTGGGTGATTGTTTGGTTCATCTCTACCTGAATAAGGCAGAGCTCTGGCAACATGACATATATAAACCCAATTTTCCTAGTTTCTAACAGACCTCACAACCTCTGAGGATGCCTGCCATAGATGCAGGTGAAACATCAGGAGAGAATGCTTCTAGAATATGGCCATATAGCTCGAAAAACCTACAACAACCTAGTGATTCGGGTCATGAAAGCTTCCGACAATACAGTGGTTACACTTTTGTGGATGTTGTGTGTTGTGCTTTGGGTCCGTCTTTTGGATTCTCAGAAAAAAGAACAAAATGTTATACTCTCTTTTGTTCCTTTTGTGGATGTTGGTTGGGAATATTTCTGGATACTGTGGAGACCATTTATCACTTGCTGTCTGGAGACTCTTGTTGCTATCATTTTCCCATGCCTCCTTTTCCTCTATATATTTTTAAGCATATCAGGTGTCTGATAAAGAAACATTGGCTCTGAAAACCTCTGCATGAATTAGTGCAAGAATTCCCCCAGCATTGCTGTAAATATTATTCTTTTTAAAATAGGTCTCTTAATTTTTAGAAAATGTATATTTTGGACTTCAGCATTGAGGTAGGATCCTTGGATGTTTAACAAAGAAATGTGCCCGCAGTACCATTCATGTTCCTATCTTTTCTGCCAATAGCTCCTTGTGGGATAAAGCACATACTCGTTTATGTAAAACCTTGCATAGAACTTCAGGCAGTCTCGGAGAATTCTCCACTGGATAGCATAATCAAAAATTCTCTATTAGAACTGCCAAAGAACCAAATCTTCCTTCAGTGAATGACAAATTGATGTACTTAAACTCTTTAACCAGCATTGGCAGCTAAATCCAACTTCCCATCCATTCAGCCCTGGAGCTTCTCTCCTAATAGCTCTCTATTATTTGCTCCCAGTCAAACTCTTTCTGAAGGTTTCATCCTAGAATTTTAATGATGGATTAGAATGACCAAAAAAAAAAAAGAGGGCGGAAAATGTTGAAATTACGTAGGTGAACTTGCCTGTTCCAGAAGCATGGCTCAGCACAAATTATCATTGAGTGATTAACATTATCTGTACGGCTCAATAATCTCCATGATACTTTTTACCTCCTTGAGCGAAACTTGGAGTGTATTGTCGAAGGCTTTAATGGCCAGAATCACTGGGTTCCTGAATGTTTTTCAGGCTGCATGGCCATGTTCCAGAAGCATTCTCTCCTGATGTTTTGCCTGCATCTATGGCAGGCATCCTCAGAGGTTGTGTCACAAATGTACAGCAACCCAGAAATCATAGAGTTGGATGCAGGAAAATTGCATTCAAGCACCCCTGACAGATGATAAGATTCACATTTCACAATGCTGATTTGAAAATATTAGTAGATTCTCTGGATTTTCAGGTTCTCTTGTTCATTCAGAGGCTTCAGAAACTTTTAAAAATATTTTATTTTGCAATGTAGTGCTTAAAATTGTCAACTTTCAGTAACCCCAAATCTCCCTTCTTTCCCCATTTCTTCCTGCAGGAGTTATATACACAGCAGACATCCTAGATCGAGAGACAACCCAATCCTACTGGCTAACTGTGTATGCAACGGATCGTGGTGTCGTTCCACTTTTCACGACCATTGAGGTCTACATTGAGGTGGAAGATGTGAATGACAATGCCCCTTTGACTTCTGAACCTATTTATTACCCATCTGTCATGGAAAACTCCCCTAAGGATGTATCAGTCATTCAAATACAGGCTCAAGACCCTGATTCCACCACTAATGAGAAGATGACGTACAGGATTACAAGTGGAAACCCACAGAACTTCTTCATTATCAATACCAAAACAGGTAAAACAATATATTTTATTCTATGTCTTAATAGAAAGTGGACTGTATTACAGCTCCATGTACATTATAAGCTATTTAATGTTTTTGTATATGTACTATTTTTTCCAAGCCTCTTGCTAAATATTATTAATCTGACTGGTGAATGTTAGGGCAATTTTTGGAAGATAGCATTTGGTGACTCTGTTGACTCTTTGTTGGAATGGTAAAGCTGCTCCAAGTTTTAGTTCAACTTTCAGAGGAGCTATCCAGGTTTCTTAGGGATTCTCTACACTGCCACCAAATCCCTGACTTTTTGGCTTTAAACTGACTTTGCCCCACTTTAAAACAAAATTGGGCTGTGGGGACAGACTCCTGGAACACTCCCCACAGGGCCCATACCCCGTTAGAACCGGGATTTCAGGAAAGCCCTGGTCCAATGGGGTATCTAAATAATTTGTGACAAAGTGGGGGGGTTTCCTGCTTTATCACAAATTAATTCTCTTTTACCTGAGGTGTTGTTTGGACGCTTCACCATAGTTCATTACCATATGTTCAACAGGGCCCAGGATATGTGCTCTCTCTGGTAGGGCCCAGTATCCCAGGGCTTTGGGAGAAGTCTGGATCAACCCCTTTCTTCTTGCTGGTCTCTTGAGTGTCTTGTTCTAACAACAGGAGAGACAACTGCAGTGTCTCAGACAGAGCTCTGTGGCCATCTAGGAGTGGTTGTAACATGGAGGAGTGGTAGTCCAGTGAGACCAATGTGGCCCTAGGTCATGTGGGCAATGGTTCTGAATTCAGCATATCTGAGAAAGATCAGTGACTTCATCATATGTGTCTTTGGCAGCACCATAGGACACTTTTGCCCTAGTTCATCCATGGAACCTGACACTGCCCACACGATACAGGCTCAGTTCTGGCAGGGTTTTGTGGATGAACTGGGGTAACTTACTTACATACTTAGGTGATCCCTCGTTGTCCGAGTAGGATTGTCATCCAAGATCAGTGTATTGGTGGGTCCGTAGGTGACTATGGAACCCTATTCTTGATCTGCATCTTCTCCTGCAGTGAAGGCATTGGTTTCCAGGTGGAAGGCGGTCTCGGTCGGGGTTGGCTTGACGCACCTTCCTCTTGGCACGTTTCTCTCTTTCACCCTCCATTCGTGCCTCTTCAAATTCTGCAGCACTGCTGGTCACAGCTGACCTCCAGCTGGAGCGTCAAGGGCCAGGGCTTCCCAGTTCTCAGTGTCTATGCCAGAGTTTTAAGGTTGACTTTGAGCCCATCTTTAATTCCTGCCCACCAACCATTTTTGAGCTAACAGCATCCTTCAATGCTGTGCACAGAACATGGGAGGCTTCCTGTATTCTGTTCAGAAAAACAGGGCCAGCACGGAAGGAAGCTGCACAGCGAAGCTTTCCCACGTGTTATGGGGAAGCATTGCTGCAGATGAGAAGGGGTGCCAGGGTTGCCCCACTGCTCCACCAATTTGCCACAGAGGCTGGAAAATTGTCCTGCGGGATCTCATCAATGTGGTGAGGTTCTTACACAAGGCTAATGTGCTCAGTGTAAATGAGCCCTTGGGCCTAGAAGTCAGCAACTTGCACGACTTTATTATAATTAATTCTAAATAGATTTATTGCCCTACTAGCATTGTGGCTACCCTTCTCCTCTCTAGCACAAATTCCTTGATGGTTTCAGTCATGGTTTTGCAAGAGTATCTGCACTGGCAATGCTATAATTCAAGCTAATCAAGCTCTCTTCATAACCAAGATTTGACATCACAGAAAGCAAAAACTGCGTATGAAAGAACACAGTTACTACTTAGGGAAATGAAAGGAAGGGATATTTGTTGTCAGAGGGCTGGAAGCTGGAAGAGGGCTGTTGTCAGAGGGCTGTCAGAGGGCTGGAAATACACTCTTGATGTCATCTTCCTATTTTTTAAAAAACAACAACATAGTTTGTTGAAAGTTGTTGGAAATGCGCTTGATGCTAGCATTTAATCATTGTTTCAGTCCACTTTGTTGTGTGTGCATTCTAGCAGTTCAATTTTGCTAAATCCATAGGCAGACTTTGGCAGGTTTTACCAAACGAATGGATGTGCACTTGCAATCAAGTAATGCAGAAATTGAGGGTTATCCTCAAAGCAAATAAGGAGTGCAAGATGGATATTCCTGGCATTGTCTCCCTATTTCTGGTCTTATTGGTCAGATATTGGCTTATTGGCGTGTTTGAAGTGGTGCTGTGATAGAAATAATTTCCATTCAATATTATTGTGAAAGAGAAAGTTCCATCTGGGAACTGAAACTTAAAACTTGGTCAGCACTCAGCTCAGTAGTTAATGCCAATGCCATTAAAAGGAAAACTGAAATTCGTAATATGTCATCATGAAAGAGGTAGTGGCTCCCAAATTGTAGAACAGTCTGCCATGGGTGGTTTGGTTGTCCCCCTGTTTGATCTTTTTCTGTTAATAGGCAAAGTCTTTTTATTTAGGCAAGTCTTTGGTTTTCTGTTTGTTAGAACAGAAATAACTTTTGATGGGGTGTGTTGTGCTTTTATTTCTATTACGTGTTAAATGTGTTTTAAATTGTTTTAAGTTTGCATTTTAATTGAACTGCTGTTTTATTATATTTATTGTATAGCATTAAATATTTGCTGTTAGCTGTTCTGAGTCCCTTGATGAAGGTAGAGAAGAACAAGATACAAAAGTTTTAAATAAATAAATAAATAAATAAATAAAGGTAAAGGTTTCCCTTTGACATTAAGTCTAGTTGAGTCTAACTCTGGGGAATGGTACTCATCTCCATTTCTAAGCTTTTATTTATCATGTCATCAGCAACCAGACATTTGTATTGCATTTTTGACACAAACAAACAGACAGACAGAAAGACAAAACACATGGTAATCTATTAAATGTCCTTTGACCAGTATCTGGCCACTTGGAGTGCCTCTGGTGTTGCTGCAAGAAGGTCTTCCATTATGCATGTGGCAGAGCTCATGTTGCATTGCAGCAGGTGGTCTGTGGTTTGCTCTTCTCCACTCGCATGTCGTGGATTCCACTTTGTAGCCCCATTTCTGAAGGTTGGCTCTGCATCTCGTGGTGCCAGAGCACAGTCTGTTCAGCGCCTTCCAAGTCGCCCAGTTTTCTGTGTGCCCAGGGGGAGTCTCTCATTTGGTATCAGCCATTGATTGAGGTTCTGAGTTTGAGCCTGCCACTTTTGGACTCTCGCTTGCTGGGGTGTTCCAGCGAGTGTCTCTGTAGATCTTAGAAAACTATTTCTTGATTTAAGTCGTTGACGTGCTGGCTGATACCCAAACAGGGGATGAGCTGGAGATGTCACTGCCTTGGTCATTTCACTATTGGCTGCTACTTCCCGGCGGATGTCAGGTGGTGCAATACCGGCTAAACAGTGTAATTTCTCCAGTGGTGTAGGGCGCAGAAACCCCGTGATAATGCTGCATTTCTAAGCTGAAGAGGTGGCATTGTCCATAGATTCCTCCTGTCTTGTGGCCAGCATGACTGCATAGAGCACCATTGCCTTCCTGCTTGATCAGTACCTATTGATCTACTCACATTTGCATGTTCTTGAACTGCTAGGTTCGCAAAGGCTGGGGCTAATGATGGGACATCACCCCACTCTGCAAAACCCTATATTTTGACCATATTTGAGCAAGAAGCACTGGTACACTTCTGGTTCAGGTATAGCCAATATACAGGGTGTGATATTATTCCACAACGGAGGTTATTTCATGGAATGTGGATTTATGAAATGGTGGATATTCAATTTGTAGATACGAAAGTTGTACTGTATGTGCTTCCCCAAATAGCCTTGGGTGTAATATGTCCCACCTTCATTACTCACCAGGCTTTGAGTTCTGTAATAGTTCCACTAATGGGCCAGCGTTCTAAAAATTGTCGGAATGAGATCCATAACAGGCCATTACCTTTCAACCAAAGTGTTTGCTTGAAAAGGTTTAGTTTAGGGATGGGGAATAGTGGAAGACGGTAAATAAAACAGATGATGGAGTTATATACATTAAAGCAGATTGATTGAGGCTATAAATTTTCTGTTTTATTTCCCATACATGGGTGTTAATTTCACAGCAACGCATAGTGATAATTTATTGTCTTGATTTATTGCTTTCTTTTTTTTTGGTGCTGAGGGGGAAAGCAATGAATTTTAATTCAAACCATTACGATTTTTTTAAAAAAAAAAAAGAAGAAAGATTACAACTGGTGCAGCGGGCGCAATACATGAACCAACTCCAATGTATTCCCATACAATAGAGATACCTCCCTGGGTTTTAAAGTTAGCATTACTGCAGGCAAATTACCAGCTGTCTGGTGTTAGTAATGAGCAGTACGGAATCTCATAAACTGAAACTCGGTGTAGATAAGATTGGGGTGAGGACAGCTAGTGAGTAATGCCACCTCTCCCTCTGCCTTTAGAAGGCAGGTCAAAATGCCATGGTCTAGAGAATTTATGAATTAAATTGCATTTTTGTTGTTGCCGCTGCTGGTCATACGGATATTGCTGCCACTGTTTTCTTTTCCTTTACAGTCTCCCCTCTCTTTTTTTTTGTCTGAAAGCAAGGTAGAGAAATGCTCTTTAATAAATAAAAGGATAAAGAGAAAATAAAAGTGATAGAAATAGAGCTCAATTTGAGCTGAAACAAGATTAATTTGATATAGGAGTGTAGCGGGGTGTCACATGCTGGTGCATAAATTGTATATATTCGAGTGGTCCTGGACTTCTTGACACTATGAGTGTGAAAGAGACAGAGAGGGAGATTTATGGTTGGAAACAAGGAATGCCTTTCTAACTTTCACAGTTCGTCACCTATATGGATATAAAGCTTAACTGATTTTATTCTCACATGCATGAATTAATAGATGTATAACTCAGTTAGCAAAGTCTTTGAAAAAGGAGCTCTTTTTTACAAAGATTTTTTTGGTTTTTGCATGGGCCCTGCCATCTTTATTTGTTTATCTTTCTAGCTGGAAGAGTATTACAGCCCCCTATGGC